CTGCATTTGCACACACAAGCACGCATCACTTCTACCTCTGCCCTTCTTATATCCTAAACACCACACCTGTGTTGCCCGCCGAGTCCTTCGGCAGACCAAATACAAAGTCTATACTCATGAGCACGCTAAAACGTCTTCGACTTGGACTGCCAACATCCGGTGGGTACCGAAAAACTAGTCAGCGCCGCCGCAATTCCTCTGACACGTCTCACACGTGCGCGCATATGTGCTCGTCCATTGTACAGCTTGGGCCACTAATAGTGGCAACTCACCGAGCTTTACGACTTTTCAAGCCCGAAATGACCACTTTGTGGGGTGTCGCAGGCCTCATAGACGATAAGCTAAAACATCGATAGAAGCTGAAAAGCGAGATGAACGAAGATCTATCAAACTTGTGAATTCCGATACTTTGATACGTACACATACATCAAACTGCGATTGGAATCGACATAATTGGTCAATAAACACGATCACAGTAGAAAAGTGCGTGGAGGATAAAATGGCATTTTCATTTTGCAACACATCATTCTTTATCGTGACGTCGCACTCGAAGTTAAAAGCGCATAAAACATTTACAAGGACCAGTGTTAAAAAACGAGTGAAGTGAGCTGGAACAGTTGTACAACGGAGTGGGATGTAATGTGGTACTAAAGATCAGAACATTAGTACATCGATGCTCCAGCTTTTTATCTATCATATCACGTTTAAACCTAGCAAGCATTCTGGACGAATAAGAGGTTAGATACAGTCGAATCATGAGGCAGCATACGTTGAGTGAACAATGAGTACAATCATTACGTTATTGTCATCTAGTTTGTTGTGTCGATAAGCGTCATGAGGTGGTTTGCATTGAAGTCCTCAGGGATCATTTCAAATTCTGGCATCTTGTCCACACACGATTGATCCAGGCTGGCTAAGTCACCATTATTGCGGATGTACGAAGCAAGCACCTCTAGTGCACATGTGTCCTTTTCAAAAGATCTCAAATCGACAAATGTTGTAGACAGTGTCCCCCCCGTTCCAAAATCGAAGGAGATCAGCTTTTTGTTGTCGCCCTCTAGAGATTGGAGAAGCCGTTGTGTGTACTTGTGCGGTGCAACCATGTCCAACTTGCTGCTCAGCACCAAAACGCTGGCCTGATTGGGAATAGAAACACTTGCATTCCAGTATTGATCGCGCTTGTAAGTGATTCCTTGAGCTTTGTACTTGCCGAAATCATACTTAGCACACGCCTTCGATTGTTCTTTTGAGAAAGCACAGTATAGAGGAAGTTCAGGATACGCACCCTGACTGGCAGTAGAATTCGTGAAGCGCTTCTTCAATGTTGCTAACGAAGGTGTTGGTTTTTCCCAGAACTCTGAGTATCCGATCAGACCTTGCAACGCATTAGAGTATAGTGGGCTTTTGCTATAGTCGTACGCGTTTACGAACGTTACAAATTTCTTCAATACCTTGACGTCTTGGGGCTCACAACGCTTGAGTCGATAGACAAATTGAGGAATCCTTGTATACAATGCTGTGGATAACATAAGTGAATTTGTTACCCGAAGATAATCTGAGGCCGAAGCGTTTTGCAAAATAACTTTTATTGTGCTCATCAACTTGAAGCATGGTGAGTCAGCTTGATTGTCGAAATTGTCTATAATTTCTTGGATTGTAGCTGCTAGTGTATTCTTGAAATGAGAGCTGCAGATGCGATCTTGATCACAGCGCTCCATGAAAGCGTCAGCCACTTCGCCGGCGTCGCGGTCCGCGTTTGATCGATAATAGTATGACCCCGTTGTACTTAATGGCCCGTCGAGAACGTACCCGGTGACGTCAGGAGGGGCAAGATGCATGACACGTTCTACTAACAGCGCCCCGTATAGCATGCCATACAAAATTGTGTCGGCTCCATTGGAAAGTTTGGAAATCAAATTGAAGAGGTCATGCGCCGCACTCGTCGGCGAAAATGCAGCAAGATTTCCAAACGTGCTTTCTAGCTTTTGGGCACACGACGCAACTTGGGATGGGTCCATATTATATCCAAGAGGGCTATTTGTTCTCACCGCACAATCCAAACGTGTACTTCTCCCACAACCACGAGGGTCCATCGTGTAGATGTTTGCAGATCCATTTAGTTTATTAGACATATCAATCATCGATCCTTCCACTACGCTTACATAGCCCAAAAGGTCAGCGATTATGACATATATTCAGTTGTGAGAGATACTTACTAGTGTCAGAGGCTATCCCAGGATGGTCTCCGAGCATCCAAATGTTCATAGCTGTCTCAGGTTCATTGGCTGGAATTCGCTTTACGAAGATCTCAATTGTCTGGTTCACACTTGATGGCGCTGAACATACGTCAGAGTAGCATAGAGGTGCTCTGAACTTTCCACACTGTACTAGTTGAATATCGAGAGTTATAGTTGAATCGGTGTATATTGGGCAGGGAAACCATTTTGACGGCTCCAACGGTTTCGACAAGGAAGTATGTAGTGTAGATGCCCCAACGAAGAAATAAAATTTGACTTTCATCCGTAATAGAACTTTCAAGAAAGTAAATTCAGGAATGACAGTGTTGATCACTCAATTTTTATTTCGGAACGAAATGCGTTGTAATGGGGGACCTTTGATAGCAAGTGCTATATGACGAATGCGTCTCACACAAATCGCAATATGATGAATAACTTTATGGTCCAGAAAAAGCTATGCGATGGGTTCTTGCCACATATGTAACTCATTAGTAACGCTTACAATCACCTGTCATCTACTCTGTCGTATGGTCTATATACGCATTACACATATAAATTACAAAAATTACCACAAGTCTGGTAGTTTTTTTTTGCACAAATACACAAAAAAACACCCTTGCGAGTGTGCCCCCGTCTGTGCATCGTCCACTCGCCCTCCATCTGTCTTCGCTCCCTCCCGCTTCAAAAGTCTTTGTTGCACCGCCTTCGCCTTGATTTCTCGGTTCCAACGCCTCTCAGCTTTAACCTCGCGCTTTTGCTGCCGATATTTACTGTGCAATTGTGTCTTCACTGACCATTGAAGCAAATGCGCCTTTTTCCTGGAATATATCTAGTCCCTGATATCTAATTTATATTGCATTCTGATTTAGTGGACATAAAAAAATACCTCTCAGAGTCTTCTTTCATATGTGAATCTAGATCAACTCCGTTATGCAGTAGTCAATCGCGCAATTTTCGACTGGCTTTTAATCTCGTGGTGCACCTGTCACGTGCATATTTACTATATAATCATTATAAGCGGAACAATCTCCCTTCTCAATAAGGCATCAAGTACTTCGCACAAGATAAGGCTCCTGAATTTTGGGTTTATCACTTATACGGGATTTTTACCCATCTCCAAATGATAACATGGTTAATACTAAGATCCCTGATTGTATCGACGCATGTAAATGTGCTAGCGCCTTGGTGTTTTGATGCTTAACAAATGTTCTGTTAGTATATTTATCGTGTGATTACGTGCTCGTGAGCGGTCGTATAGCTTAGTCGGTAGAGCACAGTGCTAATAACGCTGCGGTCAAGGCGCTGTTAATGCTTTATTAACCACAAGGTGGCACGAGATAATTGGATAACGACTGAACCACTGGAGACTATGTCGTTTACACCCGAGGCTATCTCTACAAGTTCATCTAAGGACTAGTCGACTTTGGAATTTTACGTCGTCGCTACGCCATTCACTCCAGCCTGTAATGAACAGAGAGCAACCTGATCCTGAAAACGCGATGATAACCTCAGACAACCCTCCAGTATATGACGAAAGTGATGACGACTCCCAATAAATATCCCCAAGATCTAGCCGAAAAAT